AGCCCACCGCCTGAGTGCCACCTCCACCTGCGGGCTGGCTGGGCCCCAGGAGTACTGCATTGTCAGCCACCTCCAGGTGAGCCCGTACGACCCCAGCGTGATCCTGGCACAGTCCCGGCGTGGTCCCAGCACAGCCAGGCACCAGCACAGCCTCTCTGATGGTGACACTCTGCGTCACAGGACTCAGAGAAATGCTTTACCTGCGATTCACGGGACCCGTCCTTGCCCGAGAGCCACCTCATCGAGAATGTCATCTACCTGAGCAGCCCCCACGGCCAGCGGACATGGTGGCAGTCGGAGAACGGTGAGGCCGGGGCAGCAGCAGGATTGTCCCCATGTGCGTGTGCCCCAGGGCTGCGTGGCTTGGGGGGTCTGCCCTAGCCTTGACCCCTGCGTCCCCCACAGGCGTGGAACACGTCAGCATCCGCCTGGACCTGGAGGCTGAGTTCCACTTCACCCACCTCATCATGAAGTTCAAGGTGGGTCCTGGCACATGGGTACCTGGGATGGGGTGGGACAAGATGGGATGGACCCATAGGGCCTGTGGGGCCGTCTCCATCCCAAATGTGTGTCCCGCAGACCTTCCGTCCCGCGGCCATGCTGGTGGAGCGCTCGGCTGACTTCGGGCACAGCTGGAAGGTCTACCGCTACTTCGCCTACAACTGCTCCAAGCTGTTCCCCGGCATCCCCAGCCAGCCCTCGGGGCTGGTGGATGAGGTGCTGTGTGACCAGCGCTACTCTGAAATCGAGCCCTCCAGCCATGGCGAGGTGTGTGGGGCTAGGGCGGCATGGAGGGGGTCAAGGGGTCTGGACGGGGTCTGGACTCACCCACCCCTTCCTCTCCCCAGGTCATCTTCAAGGTGCTGGACCCCTCCATCCCTGTGGTGGATCCCTACAGCCCAGACATCCAGGGTGCGTGGCCAAAGGTACCGGGGTGGTGGTGCTGGTGGGGGCAGCAGGGTGCGTGCTGATGGTGCCGTCTCCCCCTCCCTAGACCTGCTGCGCGTCACAA